AAGGAAGTACCTGCAGAGGCGTAAGGATGTAGCACACGGTGTACAAAGGGAATGGGATGGCTGCCGGGGTACCGGAACTGCGTGTTTTTAATAACAATAAAATTGTGCTCAAGCAGTATTGCGCATAAGACCCCAACCCCCAATCAGCTCAAAGCCACAAAGGATGAGGAATAGAAAGAAAGCCGCTCAAAAAGAGGCGCTCAGACAACGATCAACTCCCCCTTCCCTCTGGATTATGGATTATGTGCAAACAGGAGGCGGAGGTGGTGGCGCGCTTACCACTCGCGCGGCTAGGTTGAAATCCCGGGTCGAATCCTGCCCAGGCCAACCAAGCCTTCTGACCACCTGCGAAGAGTTTATCCTTTTATGTGCAAATGACCAACTTGCACCCCAAAGACCGGGAAGTGGTTACGGGCACCCTAGTGCAGAAGAACGCGCGTGAGTGAGGAAATCATAAAGAATTCTCGACTACTGTCACAAAACATGATAATATTCCGAATAACATGCTCCGTTGTGTGAATATTCCAGCCATCAGGTTTACATTATAAATTTCCAGTAGTAAAAGACAGTTGATAAACGCTGTGGAAAAAAGATCTCGAAGAGTTGAGAGCGAACAAAAAACCTCGTGTATTATTGCTGCCACTGCCAGTACTACTACGAAAATCGGGATGTGGCTCCATGGAAGATTCACTCCAGGAATGATCGGAACGAGACCTAGGAAACAAAAATCTAATAAGGCAGCAAAATTAGTAGATACAGAAAAACACATGCGGTTAATAATCGAAACAACCATAAACACTAACCAGTTTCTGATCCACTAGACGCCTCCATTACATCGTACTCTTCTGTCGGTGATGGGGGCAGGTCATCTAGCGCTTTGATCTTGAAGAGAATCATATTTTGCTTACTTATTTCTTGCTTCCGTAATGCGCCACGCATTAGAGTTCATTTCAGAAAGCGTAGTAACATGGATATCGATTAACAGGCATTCGATAAACTGCTAAGGAAACTAGTATACAGAAAGCAACTCTAACGATTATTCTTTCGTGCACAGATAATCCAGTCTTTATTACCGACAGCAGAGAAATGGAAACCTGTGCGGTCAGCGGAAACTAATCCTGCGATTATAAAAGTGAATGGAGATGCTGTCAACAATAAAATGCTTCACTCGCTTTCAGCAAAACATTTACTAGGAAAGAAAACCTAGAAAATAGCAAACAGGTGAATAACCACTATACCTCTGGTGAAGTTGATTCCAAAACGGTATGTGGAATGGACCTGTATGGTGCCACTTTAGGGCGGAGTGATAGTAAGTAGGAAGTGTCTACAATGAAAATGTAAAATGCAACCAGCAAATTAAAATGACCGGGGAGAAAAAAGTAAATGTTCTAATCAAAATCCAGTAAATAAAGACATCCGATCAACTGAAGAGATCTCACCTCGATAGACAATATGTGAGAGGTAAACGGTGATTCCAACCAAACAAACAAGTGCCGCCACAGCACCGAATGTGAACCACAGTGATCTCAGCTTTCGACTCACAGGTACTTCCTTCGAAGCAGGGAGATAGGCTCCCTCGTTGTAACGAGCAGTGTATATTCGCAGCTTGAATAAACTTAACATTGGATTCGAAAGAAACTTCACTTTTCGATTAACACAAGATATTCATAATTCAGCCGTTGTCAACTTGCTCCTTTCCTTCAAAGTGTGAAAAACTCCGCGGTGGTTATCACAAGATTGCTGAGTTATGGGAAAAATAGCGCACTGGCCCACAGATTCTGACTGACCTGCCAGGGCTCAAGGCCTCTGAGGATCACTCAGCACTTTTGCGATATTTTTCACAGCATTGAACAACAGTTATCATAACCAAGCAACTTCGCGGCGGAAGACAAAACTGTCGCAAGACCCCATGTAAGTTATAACTAACAGGTTCACAATGTGCCTATATATTTATTATGCACAGTTTCTGATGTTATGGGACCCTTCAGCGGCACTCGAAGCAGAGGGGAATTCCTCCCTGATACCTTCTCCCCCCTTCATAATCGATGGAATGGGGAGGGGGGTGAGGAGAGGTTGGTGACTCTATTACTTCACTATGAAAGGAAGAACTTGGCTTTTCGTCCAGGGAGAGGAGTATGTAGTGCATCTGAACCAAGAGCAAAAAGAGAAGTGAGGAAGCTCTCAACAAGCTATGATAGATTCATCTCCGTCTTGCAGCTAAAATCGGTACTCAGTTCGACGCATGGGGGTGTCTCCCAGGAGTACCCTGGGAGGGCACCTCCAGGAATACAGCTGTTTGAGTAGAAAAAAAGGTGAATGCTTCATGAAGTAACTGTGATGAAGTGAATGCGATCACAGTCAAAAAGAAATAAAAATATTATAACAGAAAGGAAAAATCTTATACTCACCTGGAAAGGAGCCACTTCTAAACCGTACTTATTAGCGAAATTCACATATGGTGTGAAGTTCTTAATTCGCAACACATAGTCGAGAAGAAATATCGAGCTCCATGAGATCAAGAAGTAACTTAGCGCTGCCGTGAACAGCATCGATTTCAGGAAAGTCCGATCTCAGAAATGTTTTCGCCTCATTCTGTTGAACATGACAACGTTACCTAAAAGCAGCGTCTATTTTTAGTGTTGTTCAATCACGATTTACACAGTGAGTAAAACCAAGATTTTGAAACGAATGACGTCTTGCTAATCGTTAGTCCTGAAATTTACTGAGAGAATTTGAAAACGAAATAACAAACTATTCAAATAAACGCAGTTTAGCACTGGTTGTAATTCAATATAAAAATAGCCCATATAAGCCAGCTATCTCCCTTGATAGCTATCCCTTCATCGTAACTGAACAAGCAGATGGTAAGAGTGGAAGTAAAAGAACACCTAGTACAAAAATGTTACGGTACACTAATGAAACATGACCAAACCCAGTGATGTTGCAGTCCTTCACAGTTCCAAACAACTGGTAAATGAAGTCAAAACTTTGGCAAAGCAGTGGCACAAGGCCAAAGGCGCTTTCCCGATGTCAGCAACTGAACAATGGAAATCGAAAATTCCGAAGCCTGAAGCTATTTGCCTATTAAATGTAATTTAGATTTGATTTGATTGTTTAAGTTATTCTTGTTATAATGATTACAATGTTTGAAACTGTAATATATTAAATAAAAGAAAATTTATTAAAGACAAACTCCGAAATTGCACATTGTAGACAGTGACGTTTGATTACAAACCTGTAGTCGCTAGATGAGTCTCCAGCTAATAAAAAAAAGCAAAAAAAAACATCATGGAGAGTACCCTAAGTAAGGTCCTGGCAGCTCCATCGTACGAGTTGTCAGGACCTGCTCGCTTCATACCAGCAAAGCGATATCCTATCACTTCCAGCTCAATAATCATTTCTTTGCGTCATCCAAAACTGACACCATCTAACATAAGAGCGCGTTCAGACTTCGCGATCGCGATCCGATCGCGCGATCGCGCTACTGTGGGTGAAATTACACCGGGAGGGGGTCATGTTCGTTCATGTTTATTGTTCCTGTTCTTTTTTTCCTTTTCCTTCTTTCTTCCTTTGTGTACATAACGCCCTCCTAATTTTAAGGGACCAGGAAACAACCACTATTAAGCACGCTATAACAACC